CCCCCCCGAGATCTATATGCCTTTTTGCTTAAACGAAAATAAGATTATTTGGCCCTACGGGTCTGCAAGCTTTTTCTCTGTGTCACGGAGGACATCACTCTAACACTGGCAGTTTAAATGCATGAGAGCTTTGGGCTTCCAAGAACCCCTTAGAGGTTATTTGGAAGCACAACATCCTTCGGTTGAGTGGACAACTAGCCCCAGCTGCTCTGCATGTTGAATCTCTGCCCCTCAGCCCCGCCACTCAGGCTCAGGCTTCAGCTGAGATGGGCCAAGTTAAGCACAAATAAACAGACACTGAGCCTCCTCTCCTTCAGCAGCCGATTTTAGCACGCGGGGAGGTGCTGGGAACGTGGGCAAGAGCGGGATGGGCTGAGGCCGTCGGGGCCGCACCGTCAAACGCTTTCCAGCCCTAAGCCCTGAAAGAAGTGGGAGGGGTCCCCAAAATACTCTTTTCCCCTGGTGGCTGCGATGAGGCTTTAGAAAATGCGTAACTAAGTCTAGTTTCTTTTAAAAAGCCCAGGCCCTGCCCTCACCAGTTTGGCTCTGTGGTTAGAGTGTCAGCCCACGGACTTAAGGATCCCTGGTTCGAGGCCCGCCAAGGGCACGTACCTCGGTTACAGCCTCCATCCCGGCCCCGGTTGGGGTGTGTGCGGGAGGCAACCAATCAAAGTATCTCTCTCACATCGATGTTTCTCTCTCTCTCCCCCCCCTCGCCTCTCATTCTCTCTGAAAAGCAATGGAAAAAATATCCTTGGATGAAGCTTAAAAAAAAAAAGTCGGGGTTCTTGCAGTGCTGGTGCTCTGAAGGTCCAGCCTGCCTGTGAGATTCAGATTTTCAGTAACGCTTTAATGAACACTGGTGATGCGCCAGGTATTGGGGCTCTCACTGGGACTCTGTGAAGCAATAAATTAAAAAAGTATAAATAAATAAATTTTCAGGAATTCTGAAAACCAGACACAAACAGACATTACTAAAAATTAAGTACATAAACCAGGGCTTAAATAAGTTATATTAAAAACAAAGGTGATGAAAAGTCAAAACTCATCATTCCCAATTATGTTGCTATATTGTACATTTTTCTTCTACCTATTTTCTTGACATTATTTACATCTATCGTATCTATATGGTGGGTGAAGCGCCCCTTCCTAATTCTGAGTTTCGTGGCTCCACAGTGGTAGTTTGAAATTGGCAGTGATGGGAGTATTTACACCATGGAAATCGGCAAGTGCTACAAATCAGGGCTCGATTTGCTGTTGACTGTTAACGAAGTAATGTGGAAAACGTTAATTATGCAGGTTAGGCTTGAACGTGTACCTTGTCTGGAGCCTTTACATTGTGAGCAGCGCAAAGCATTGAGGAAATATTGTTCCAGTACTTGAACGCTATTATTTGATTCAGCAAAGAATTCCCTTGCTCGTGTCATCGAGATACGAAGTGAAGCTCCGAAAGCATGATGTTGGGACGGTGGGAAATTACCGGAGAAAGTTCGAAGGCAGTGAAAATCCAAGCTTGGGTTTCATTGTTTCACGTTCACCTCTTAAACATAAAGGAGAATCAGTCAACGTTCATATCAAAACTATACTTCTTTTTCAGTGGCAACGAGGTGAGCGACTTACTGGCTGAACGGATTGGTGACCAAGCCTTCACCGGTGGTCTGATTCTGTTAACACTGCAGCCAGCTGCAGAATTATAAAAACTCACAGTGGATTTTGCAAGGCACAGGGAAGTTAGAGCTGTATGGAAGTTACAGTAAAGAATGCTGTGGCCTGGCCGGGCGTGGCTCAGTGGTTGAGCGTGGTCCTAGGATCCAGGAGGTCGAGGTTCAGTTCCCAGTCAGGGCACATGCCCGAGTTGCGGGCTCGATCCCCCAGTTGGGGGCATGCAGGAGGCCGAGGATCGGTGACTCATCATTGATGTTTCTCTCTCTCTCTCTCTCTCTCTCTCCCCCTCCTTTCCTCTCTCTGAAATCAATAAAGATATATTAAAAAAAAAAAAAATGATGCGGCACAGCCCTGGCCAGTGTGGCTCAGTGGGCTGGGCATCGTCCCAAGCACAGAGAGTTTGCTGGTTTGATCGCCGGTTAGGGCACATGCCCCCGCTGGGGACGCGATCCCTGCTGCGGGCTCGATCCCCGGTAGGGGGCGTGCAGGAGGCAGCCCATGGATTCCTTGCTTTCACATGGATGTTTCTCTTCCTTCCCCTCTATAAAAAAAAAAGAAAGAAAGAATGTTGGGGAACAATGCTGTTGTCACACACACGTTCTTTCCCGCTGTGCCGGGCAAGGAGCCGGTCTGGGGTCCACAGGGAGCTCGCTGGTCCCCTCGCCCCCTAAAGCAGAGCAGGGGTTGGAACAGGCGAACCGCGAAGGGCCCTTCCCGCAGCGGCC